ATCCATTATTATTATTATTACTATTATTACTTTTTTTTAAATTTTACTTAGTATTGTATACAAATATTGTATGAATAATGTATTCACCAAAAATTTTACCTAGTTAAATAAATATTTTATTTTAAATTTCACGATAARTAATATTGTGATTCAAAAAGAAAATACAATCTTCGCTGAAAAATTATTCCATTATGACTTCAAACAATGCAAATAAATTTRGACATTTTAAAACGTTATGACTTCTCTATAGGTATATTAATGCGTGTTTAAGAAACATTGGAATATAGCGTTATGATGTATATTACAAAGTTTATTATATTTYCCTAAAAACCATAACATCTGCTGAGATAAATTAATAATATTTTGACATTTTGTTTAGTTGAGAAAATAAAAACTCACCAGATTTTCCGTTAATGTCCATAGCCTTGAGGTTCCTGGCCTCAAGAATGCCAAGTGTCAAATTGTTAGTCATCGGGTTGTAAGACAATGACGTCAACAAATGGCCACATTTATCCTTTAATGGAGCCGTAAGATCCTTCCAAAAWACTGGTTTCGCCGTAAAGTCAACCTAAAAGCCACACATAAAAACCAATTTTAGATTTTTATAGAAAACCAACATGCGCACTAATTTCCGCTCACAAATGAGCACAATGTATACATTTCCGTAGAAAATCGATTATAAAAACAAACAGCTGKTTGTGGATTGAGCCATATTGATAGTTTTTCATTGTTAGCAACGAAAATTATTAATAATTTACTATCACTAGATGATGTGCTTATAATATTTTTTTTCTTTTTTTGTGAAGCGGTGGAAAATATGTTAAAAAAATTTTAATTAAGTTCTCACTAAGTGTCATCAACAAAAGCGTATTCTCAGCTGCTATTGAAGTGAATTTTTTAATAGAAAGAGACAAGATATGAATTATTATGGTCGATCTCTGTTTTAGTAAAAACCATACGAACTACATTAAAAAACACTGTATTTAGGTTGCACTGGCTATACTCAGAGATTTCAAGAACTCGAGAATCTCGGGAATCATACAGAAATCGGAGGAAAGAATTAAAGTTTACACGATAAAATATTGTAGAATAAATCATTAAAACAGTCGTGTGCCTATTTTTTGATAAACTGTAATTAAAAAAACTACTTGTACTATTTGAAATTTAAACTCAAACAATAATTAGGTTTTGCATGTTCCTATACTATTATGTGTCTATCAATACTATGTTGGAGGAATATAAGTGAAACGAACAGAATTAACATTGTAAATATTAAAATACGATAAATATTAATTGATGAGAGTTAACAATTATTAAATTTTAATTTAATACAATTTATTACCCACATAATAAAAATAACTTTCCACTTTATAACCATTTCTTACAATCAAAATTTGACTGTTATGAGGACACTACACCCGCATGTAATGTCTCAGTCTAACAAGTGCATAACATCGTACATTTTACACTCGGCAGATCACGCTTAGCTCCGTTCATCAAAATTTATCATGAATTTGTCTACTTTGTTTAGATAAAAAATATCTATTAGCAAGTTAAATTAAATTTTTATGAACTCAATTTCACTTGTACAGATATTATTATTTTTTTGTTATTCAAAAACGAATAACTATGGAAACTKGAAATTTACACYATGTGTTTATTTTATCAATTCCTATACTTGATAAAATTTTTAAAATAATTCAACAATTCTTAAGTTATTTATAGAAATTTGAAATTTTCCTTTTTTTAGTTTC